ATTGTTGCAGACCAAGTACATCCCTTCTTGGCAATGGTGTTCTTTGAAGGCAGTGTCTTCTTTCAGCAGAGTAATGCACCCAGCCACACTGCAAAAAATGTTCAGGAATGGTTTGAGGAACATGACAAAGAATTCAAGGTGTTGCCTTGGCCTCCAAATACCCCAGATCTCAATCCAATTGAGCATCTGTGGAATGTGCTGGATCAACAAATCAGATCCATGGAGGCCCCACCTCGCAACTTGCAGGACTTAAAGGATGTGCTGCTAATTTCTTGGCGCCAGATACCACAGGACACATTCAGAGGTCTTGTAGAGTCCATGTCAATTAGCAAACTAGCTAAACTAGCAAATACATGGAAGTGCAGCAAACTCACACTATATGACACTGTATGCTGTTTTTTTCTTCCCTTTCTATATATTATTGTCAATACTATCTGAATTATTCCGTGAGTTTTTACTCCTATTTGTGATCAGATATACACTGTTTTTTTAAAGATATGAGCTCAATATTTTTTAAACCAAGATCGTATTCAAAATGAGCAGCAAAAATATGATATAACAGGTTTAAATTGCTATTTTAAATGGTTTCTGGTAAGAAAAAAAAAACACTTCATTTTGTCACCCGTTGCCTTTATACTTTTCTTTTCATAAATCAGTTACTCGCACATGTAATCATTTTGATCATTCATTTGAAGTCCCCATATCTGAAAGTGCATAATTGTAAGGGAGGGCTGTTGCACTTGATTAAAAGTCTCTTATGCGCTTTATTATTTAAATCTGAGCTGGCAGATTGATGACGATCAAAGACAGAATTCCTAAGGAAAAATGACTACTGTCACCTGATTTCTATTTATGTTAATCTTTAATTTCTTTGCAGTTTATATGTGTGATTCCAAAGTAGTTTTAGGGCATATTTATTTAAGATGTAAGTATGGTAGAAACACATGGGTATGACTGTAGCACATATTGAAAAAGAAAGGGACTAAATGGCCCAAAATGCATTTAGGGTCCTCTTAGAGTAATTTTGTATAGGGTGTAAATAAAGTTTTCAAATGGAAAAAAGTATTGGTTGAATTCTCATGTAAAAAGGTCTATTCATGACAAAATGTTATATTGAAAATTAAAAAAGGTAGACACATTCAATGTGAAATATATGCAAGCTCCCAAGTGGAGCTCTATGAAAATACGATATGGGGTGCTCACTCACATAAGGCTTTATCCCCAAAAGACCAAATACATGTAAATAACAATGAGTAAGGAGCACAACCTATTGTTCCCTATATAATTCATGGTACAATTTTGTGATCATTAACAATGTGAGTCAATACAAAGCAGCTTCAGAGACATATCAAGAAAGTGTAATTCTTTTAAGAGAAATTAAAATTAGTCTACAGGAAATGCCAAGGGTCAAGAATTTGAGTATATCAGTAAAGTTTAACATGTTTCTCTATAAAAATAAAAGAGACACTGATTAACTCATCTGTGCTTTGGGGATATCATAATATTCTGGTCTGTTGATGGGATCGGACTGAGGGGAGATTTGTAGAGAACCAATTTAACCCAAAATGCACAATTTACACTGAACAGCCACTATATTAAAACCACCTGCCCAATATTGAGTAGGTCACCGTTGTGCTGCCAAAACAGCTCTCATGTGTTGAGGCATGGTCTCCATAAGACCTCTGAAAGTGTCAAGTGGTATCTGGCACCAAGACATTAGCAGCAGATCCTAAGTCTTGCAAGTTGCGAGGTTGGGCATCCATGGATTGGATTTGTAGTTCTAGCAAATGCCACAGATGCTAAATTGGATTGGCATTTGGGGAAGTTGAGGCTCGAGACAACAGCTTGAACTCGTTGTCATGTTCCTCAAACCATTCCTGAACAATTTTGTTCAGGAATGGTTTGAGGAACATTATTCTGCTGAAAAAGGCGATATGTCAAGGAACCAAATAATAAAAGTTACCTGCGCATTAGTCCAAATCCCTATGCATATTTAAATAAATGGAGGTTATTTAGTAACTCCAATGGCCATCAGATGCAAGCCCACCTTCCACTTCAAGGCAAACCTCTTAGATGGGTCCTGAACAAACAAATCACCTTGCTTTCTTTAGCTTCAGGCAAATAAATCTCTGAGACAAAGGGAACACCTGGGGTGGGTGGCAGCATTGTAACATGGCTGTGTGCTACAAAAGTAAAAACAAATGCACAAAAATAAGTCCTGTGCTCAAACTCCCACTACTCCTGGGGAGGAGCAATGACCATAAAAGTACAAAAAAGATGATTGAAACAGCAAAGTTACCAAAAAACTTTTAATGCTCTAAAATACTAAATAAAATAAACTTTTTTTATACCATTTGAGAATGCCTATATTGGTGAAACTTTTAAACACTTTTATTATTCTTACTCTTCCTGGCTTTTTATTGTTCCTGTACTCAAAGAAATCCGAAGTGGGGATCATACCACCAACGCTTTATCAATAGAGCAGTGTTTCTGCTCTATACTTGTGAATATTATTTTATTTAATTTTACTTATTTTTATCAGAAAATTGTGGTCATTCTCTTTAGCAATGGTGAAAGGATACAATAAGAGGGTTATGGAAAGAGAGGGAGGGGGAGGGTTCTCCCTCTCGTGGTGGGGTTCGGAGCCGGATAGCAGGTCCGTTCGGGTCCAGTTTAGGTTTTGGGTGTCAGGCACCCCAGTTCTCTAATAGTTTTGTTAAAGGGACACTTCAGACTCCTAAAGCACTTTATCTTGGCGAAGTGTTTTATATGTGAAGAGTTTGTCTCCTTTTTTCATTTTACAAAAATTGCTGGTTTTTATAAAAAATTGGCGCTTTTGTAACTTAACATAAATTAACACCCCCTTGCTTCTCATTGATGATCAACAAGTCTGGGCTGGGTTAGAATGGATGGGCTTGCAAAGGATTCAAACAAGATATCTGCAAAGTTTACAATCTGTTTTTACATATACCCTTAATTAAAAAAAAAAAAAGCATATATGTTTTTATTGGGGGTAAATCTAATAGAAAGGGATTTTTTTTTATTTGGCAGTGGAGTGTCTCTTTAAGCACTCCATATGAACAATTTAACAGGGTTATCCTTTAAAGCGAGAATTGTTGGGAATTTAAATTGAATTCATTGTGAATTTCAAGTATAAGGCCAAAGTTGCAGTACTGGCTTGCAGAATGCGTCTGTTAACATTTAATAAGGCGAGTTGAATTATAACCATAACAAATAGAAGAAATTAAATATTCATCTTCCAAATTGTTGTCATTGTTACTTCTATAAATGTGTGCCATTGGAATGAGAATATACATGTAAAAGGTTTCTTCGAGGCAAATGCTGCAATTTAATGTTTACATTACAGGATAATTGGACTAATATAAAAAACATGTGGTGCATTTAATTTTGCACCTGAGGGAGAAAAAGCCTGAAACATTGCTTGATGTTCTAACAACAAATGCAGAATCCTGCCTTGAACTCTTAACTCCTTCACTGCCATGTACTTTAAACACAACATTGCATTTTTTGACAAACGGCTGTGTTACCAGGTGCTAAACGACATTTCCCATAAAGTGTATACAACTATCAAAAAGTGCTTGGGTGCTTCGAAACATATTAAATTCAAGGAGACCTTAAAATGCATGTGCAGCTACTGGTGCCTGAATCTGTCTTATTTGCTTTGATATAGCCCCACTTTTTATGTTTTTTTTATTTATTTATTTGTTAATACTACTGTGTCCCTGAATCCCTGCTGCTGTTTATATCAGCCCGAGAAGAGGGATCCCCATACTGTTACTATGGAGCCTGTATACAGCTCGATACCATGTGAGCGTTTCCAAGCACTTCTGTATTTATTATGTATTTTTTTTAACATGCACTATGAAAATGTTTCTTTCTTGTTAAATAAAATGCTAGATATCAGTATTTCCAGAGTTTTATAAAAGGGAACTGTGGCAGACCGCTTGGTACCCCAACCGGGTACCTCTGCCAAGCAACCTCCCTAGCTATTGCCAGGACACCATTAGCACTTCAACCCCTAGCTGCTGCAGCTTGGCCGGGGTCTCGCCATCGCTTCCCACCCTGGAACTGGGTCCTGGATCCAGATTCTAGTGATTAAAGCTCTCCTGCAGAGAGTATAGCTGCTGAGTGATTAGAACTCTCGAGTGATTATAGCTTTCCCCTACAGACATTAGAAGGGACTTAATGCTGGGAGTGAAGTGGTTTAATGGAACATGGTACAGGCAATTTATACACAGACCCCTAGTAGGGGGTCTCCATACAATTCAATACAGACTCCTCCCTGGAGTATCTGTGTCTGGAAGATATTTGAGTTTACTCTGCATAATTATCTCCCAGGCACAGAGGTAGAATGCACAAAATATTAAACACCCCAAAACATACATAATATTACAAAGGACCCCTACAAGTCTTATATCTACGGCTAGCTTGGATCTAAGCGCCCAAAGTGTCCAAATAGTGCACAGATCCCACGAATACAGCCAAATCGCAACCGGGGTAAAGTTTTGACCGACGGCACACGAGGTGTATGCCCAAAATAGTTCCATAAGAAAAGTGGTAGTGGTTGGTCACTTTCGGGAGTCCCAAAATGAAAGAAATACTGAACAGATTCTCTGGCTCCTGGTAGCGATTGTTCGTCTAGTCCATGCAAACAATCCTACGGAACAGCGCTCTCCTGCGATGGTTAGAAAGGAAGCATGCGGTTGTCTAAGTTCAGCAGTGTTTGCGAGTTAGTCTGTCTGATTTTAGTTTCATAAACCCAATGTCCGAACACCGCTGCCTGCGTTCGTGCACCAAGATGGCTGCCAACTCATTTCCCACATGTTAGTTCATGCGAACGGCGGCCACTCAGCCGAACACTTGGGATAACAAAGTGTGAATCGATGATGAAGGTTTCAGAAGAGGTTAACAAGCCCAGAGGTGGTCTGAATATGAGGGGTATAGAGAGGAAATTTGTTGGTTTGTTCAGTAACCGAACTGAAGAAGGGAGAACGTACGAACAGAGTATTTTAAGGGACAGATTAGTCGGTTACATTGCCCAAAGTCCTTGGGCAGGAGGCTAGCTAGCAGGCTCCTCCAGGAGCTCGTGGCATAGGCATATTTGCCACCAGGGCCGGAGCAAAGATTCCTGCCACCCTAGGGAAAGATCCATTTTGCCGGCCCCTTATGAAAGCAAATACAATCTCACAGACGTTTATTCACTAAACTCTGAATTGCAGTGAGTTGAAAACCAAATGGCAAAGTTTAAGCAAAAACAGCTGAACTATGACTGTAGTCGAATTGGAGATTTCTTCTAGATCAGCTATTTTGGCCTAAATTTTGCCATATGGTTTTCAGTTGGGTCTACCTAATAGGCACATACTGCTTAATGCGTACATCCATAAACATACACTGCCTAATACCTACATCCATACACACATACTGCCTAATACCTACATCCTGTCAGGGTCTTACCTGAGTTGGGAGTCTGTAGCACAGGTATGATGCTCACCCTTGCAAATAGCCAAAGGCCAAGGTGGTCAGGTAAGAATTCACCTGGCCTGTGGATCTGTGCACGGGGGCTGATCCCCCAGTGCTGGAGACAAGCCAGGATCAATAGAACTGAAATAGCTGGTAAGAAACAGAGCTATTGTGACTCAGAGGTAGGAAGCAGGACCAGAACTGACACATCCTTACACACATACTACCTAATACATGCATCAGTACACACATACTGCTTAATGCATACATCCATAGACACATACTGCCTTATACATTCATCCATACACACATATATCTATAAATATGCATCCATGATATACACATACATCCCTAAACACACATACAGTCTATTTATCAATACACACATACTGCCTAATACCTACATCCATAAACACACACTACCTAATACCTACATCCATACACACACCCTGCCTAATACATACATCCATACACACATACTGCCTAAGACATACAACCATACACACATACTGCCTAAGACATGCATACACACATACATGCATACATTTCTGCTCTGCTCCAGTCCTCCCACCCCACCACCTGCTCCCTAGATCCAATTCCCTCGCATCTCACCCGTACTCTGTCTTCTTCTCTTTCTCCACCTCTCACTAAAATTCTCAATCTCTCTCTCTCCTCTGGTATATTTCCATTGCCCTTCAAACATGCAACTGTAACCCCAATTCTAAAGAAGCCCAACCTTGACCCTAACTCCCCATCCAACTACCGTCCTATCTCGCTACTGCCTTTTACATCCAAGATCCTTGAAAGAATTGTGTATGCAAGATTGCCAGACTTCCTTGAGTCCAACTCTCTGCTAGACCTGCTTTAGTCTGGTTTCTGCGCTAAGCACTCTGTGGAAACGGCACTGACCAAAGTATCCAATGATCTACCTGCTGCAAAATCTCATGGTCACTACTCTATCCTAATTCTCCTTGACCTGTCTGCAGCGTGTGACACTGTTGATCATCAACAGCTTCTTCTCATCCTCAGCAATATCGGTCTACAAGATATTGCTCTCTCCTGGTGCTCCTCCTAACTCTCCCAGCACTCTTTCAGTGTTTTTTTCTCTGGCTCTGCTTTTTCTCCCCAACTCCTCTCTGTTGGTGTCCCCCAAGGTTGGTCCCCTACTGTTCTCCATCTATACTGCCTCCCTTGGTAAACTCATTAGCTCCTTTGGCTTCCAATATCATTTCTATGCAGATGACATGCAAATCTACCTGTCCTCTCCTGATCTCTCCCCGTCCCTCTTGACTAGTGTCTCTGACTGCCTCTCTGCTATTTCTAACTGGATGGCTACCCACTTCCTTAAACTAAACTTGACCAAAACTGAAATTCTGGTCTTTCCTCCCTCAAGTGTTGTTACTCCTGTGTCTGTCTCCCTCCAAGTCAACGGTGCTACCATCAGCTCCACCACGCAGGCTCGCTGCCTAGGTGTTCTCTTTGACTCCGACCTCTCCTTCAAGCCTCATGTTCAGTCTATCGCCAAATCCTGTAGTTTCCATCTCAGAAACATTGCGCGCATCCGACCCTACTTAACACCAGATGCAACGAAGGTGCTGGTCCATTCCACTGTCCTTTCTCGCCTTGACTACTGTAATCCGCTTCTCAGTAGTCTTACGTGCTCCCAACTTGCACCATTATAGTCCATAATGAATGCGGTGGCGAGGCTCATCTTCCTGTCCGCCCGCACCTCCCACACCTCACCCTTCTGTCAGTCTCTACATCCTAAAATTCTGGTTCTTGCTTTCAAATCTCTACATAATGCTGCTCCCACCTATCTATCCTCACTTATACACAAGTATGTCCGGTCTAGGCCCTTACGCTCTGCTGAAGACTTATGTCTATCTTCTGTCCGTACTCCCACCTCTTATGCTCGCCTTCAAGACTTCTCCAGGGCTGCACCTTTTCTGTGGAACTCACTTCCCTCCTCCATTAGATGCTCACCCAGTCTCCACTCCTTCAAAAAATAGTTAAAAACCCACTTCTTCATAAAAGCGTATCTATTAAACTGTTAATAGTTCCCGACTGATTCCTCTTCTGCAACTGTCACTAGTCTAATACCATCCTTACCTTTTTGGGTCACTTTACCCCACTCCCTCTAGCATCTAAGCTCATTGAGCAGGGCCCTCAACCTCTCTGTTCCTGTGTGTCCAACTTGTCTGGTTACAACTACATGTCTGTTCGTCCACCCATTGTAAAGCGCTGTGGAATTTGATGGCGCTATATAAATAACATAATAATAATATTGCCTAATACATACATTGTACATTGAAAACATAATTTAACGCTGTGATAAGTGACGTATTCAATGCATTTGATAAATTTAATTTATAAGACTAGCGCAGATGAGCACACTCGCTGACAGACAAACTCACACACACTCACTGTCAGGCAGATACTCAGTCACTGACAGACACAAACACTCACAGAAACAAAATACCATGCACTCAGGTCCTGCACATATGCTCCGGCCTTCCACCAAGGGGGCGCTCTGTGTGTAGGATGGACACCGCTGAATCCACCAATGTAGTATCAAAGAAGAGAAACACAAGCAGCACTGCAGGATAAAGAAGGTGAATTTATTCATGGGTTCACCACCTCACCAAAATAAGTGCAAAGTTTCGGCTCCTAAGAGCCTTAATCATGCATGAGGTCACAGAGGTCAAGCGAGGGATGAGTGAGAAGCTGCGAGAACAGCCTCCCTCACCGCCCACAATACAGCAGCCTGCCTCCTGTCCTCCTCTCCTCCAGCATTTCTCGGCAGAGCAGGCACCTTCCATCAAGGTAAGCAGGTGCCTGCTCTGCCATATTGAAGAAGGATAGCATCGGGGGCGCCCTGAGGTGGCCCCCTTCTTTGGGTTCCCCATTTTCAGGTGCCTTGGTCCCGGCACTGAGGGGGGCGGCTATTGAGTCACTGGCCCAGTGTTGTGGCCCAGGACAGGGGGAGCCCACCAGTAAATTTCCCGGTGGGCGCCCATCTGAAATTTCTGCACTAAATGAATGCTGAATAACAGTGCTCCTAGAGTAACATGAGGTGAGTATGTCTACTTGAAATCTTATTTGTGGGGACCATTGTCCAATCATTTTTGTTATGCATTGTGCACACTTTAATGTTGTTTTTTGTACGTTTCACGTAAACAACAGCAAGGCTGGGATTGAGTGATAAACACCTTTTAAAGGTGGTTTATTGCAGAATAATGTTTTATTTTCGTTATCAAGGCATTATTGAAGCAAATATAGTTTCACAAGTAAAATAGGACAACTGTTACAAGTATGAGACACGCAGGTCTCAGTGCATAAACACAAAAACGCAGGTAAATAATAGGTTTTTAGTAGGCATTTTTACAATAAAATATTATTTTACTACTGAAGAACTGTTTCCCCAGCAAAATTACAGAGTTGGAGAATGGATAACCAAGATAACAAGGATATATCAAAACATCTCATCCATTAGTAGTATTAGAGAGGTCAAAAAATCTTATAACCATAAATATATCCAAAGGAACAACTTACATATTGCAAATATTCTTAGAAAGGTACACTGGAGAGTAGTAGAAAAAGGTAAAATTACATATCGTGGTAAACAAGAAGTAGTAGATAGAGTTTTAGGAATGTCAGGTATATTCAAAGTTCAGCTTGATCAAATAATTAAAGCAATAAGACAGACGTTTCTCTTCAATTTGTCCATCCATCCCTCTCTCGCTCCCTCTCTGTGACAGTCCATCTGTCCATCGTTCCATCCATTTATCCATCCCATAGTGCATACATGGAGCTTGGAAATCTATGGGTGGCTGGAGTACTCTTAAATAAAAGGCAAGGACAATAGCGATGACCTCTAATTTGGGATTTTGTCAGCCATTCACTGACTGATAATGAAACTCAAATAAACTATAGTGGGATTTTATTCAAGTTTTCAATTTTAATTTTGTAATCAAGTTTACAAGTAGAAGTCATTTCTTGTTTTCGAACAATGGAGTAATAAGTAGAATCGAGTAGAGTGGAATTTTATTTTCTTTGCTAAATTAATTCTGCAAAAAAAAAAAGAAGATTAGTGACAGCTGAATTTCTGCCATATGGTGGTTCGGCCTGGCCAAATTTCATTAACAAACAAGTATTCAGGAAAACATATCAGATGAACAAAAAGGTGTGAAAATGAACCAATCATTCTACTGCAAAATGTATACATAAAATAAATATTATGTATATATTTACAGGACTTTGATAGGAGCAATGGAGGGTAAAGAGACTGCCCCTTAGCTAACAATCATCTTTTTTTTCCCATCAATTTTTGAACATGCTCGTTTTGTTTGGTTCATGCTTCAGCTATACGAGGTCTGTCCGGAAAGGATCCAGTCATGTAAAATGAAAAATAGAGACATTTATTGAAGAAGATACAAGAAACATTGTACATAGAACAATGACGCCTTAGTCCCCTTTAAAATAGGCATGTTTGGACCTCACACAGTTCTCCCAGCATCTCTTCCACTGTTCAAAACACTGCAAAATCCTTTGTTGGAATCTCCATCAGCTACATCATTGGATTTACCTGAATCGACGGTCTGAAATCGTTTCCCTTTCAAAGGGGATTTAGTTTTGGGAAAAGCCAGAAGTCACAGGGCACCAAATCTTTCAACAGATTCTTGACTTTTATTTGCATTGCACTCATTGCATCAACCCCAAAAGCCTTCTGAATCATCCAAATAGTTTCCGCGGAGTAATGTTCATGTTTAACACAAAATTTGCTTTTCTCACTCAGTCATTTGAATGTGAAGGCCACATAGTACACAAGCCCACTCTATGTCATCTAGCACCCCCACTGACTAGTACAAAGTAGCTGTTTAGTGGATAAGGGAGTGCGCTGGATTTTATTTTTTTATTGTATTTGTTGGCTCCCAGCAGCACCCTATTTATGCATGTTTAGGTTAGTGCAGCCAGCCCCTTGATTTCTCGTATATATATATATATATAGGAGTCTAGCCAACTCCTTGGTTTTGCACCCCTCCCAGGGCCTATTTAGCATTGTACTGCAGAGAACTCGAGATAAGTAAGTAGCTCATTTAGCAGACGTGTGGCTGTTAGAGTAGGACCTGCCAAAGATGGGGTACAATAGAAGAGAAGTCCAGGCACTCTCAGGATACAAAAAGGCAATTTTATTGAACCCACTGCCACTCACAACGTTTCGACCTACACCATCTTTGTCAAGCTTCTATTTTTCCTCATCAAGTATTTGGTTCCTGGTACTGGGACTGGTCTGGTGCACCCAGATACATTGCAAATGGGATTGAGTGCAGTTCCACATTCCACATTCCTGCTATACTATATCCAAAGATGGGGTACATTGACATTGAGACAGTTGCAATGTATGATCAATAATGTAACTAAACCTCCATTTTTTTTGCCTAGATTAGGTGTTTTTAAAAAACTAACAAAATCTGTCAGCACCAAAGTTGCTGTTTAGTAGATAAGGGAGTGTGCTGGATTTTCTTTTTTATAGTACAGTGAAGGCATAATTGTTTATGCATGCGCATTCCAGACCCCTCTGCTTGTCTGCCAGGTTACATCGTTGTCATGCAAACCATTCTTGATATAATAATAATGGCTGGACTTTTTCTGGATATGTTATGTAAATCTGGGGTATTACCTCTGATCTTCATGCACTCAAAATAAGCATAATGTGCCAGAAAAATTTCCTTTCTTGTTCATCATTAAATTTACATGGAAAGTGGATCTGGAGAAAAACAGGTCTACCCATGGCCATCTTGTAACCAGCTTGGAGTTGACTTTCATTTCTATATTTTTCTATAAACTAATCACAACTTTATATGGTAGATTCACACTATTCTGAATTTAATCATAGTTTATTTATAGCAGTCCTTCTTTAATTGTTTGTGTACATTATAATGCCAGGCACCTTATTGTGCCATTTGCAGCTGTGTTTGTTGAAGACCATTCAACTCCTACCAACAGGTTTATTGCTCTAAGCAACTGCCTATTGGGCATTATAGAAAATCCATCTTTATCTAAACATACACTGGCAAACAGTCATTAAGATCTATTGTTCTGAGTTCTCTATTGACAGTACACATGGGTTTCATCAAATATAAGTCTCATATTAGCGAGAAACCGTGTCAAACATCTCACTACATACTTATTAATTACTGAAATGAAACAATAAACCATGCTATTAGGAGCTGACACTGAACACAAACGTATATCCAATAAAATTATATAAGCTTAGAAATGAATGCTTGCAAATGACTGCTTTCCAAAATTTAGTTTAAACTAATCTACTAAATGTTAGTAATATTAACATACAATGCATTGAACTTTAAGCTCTGGAACGACAATAACTCAGTACAGAACTGGAAAAAAATTATGTAAAATGCATTTAAATTCTTTATCTATCTACATTTATACAATAATTTAAAAACCTTGAAGGAAAAAGTCAATGCACAAATAATGGGTTGTAAGTTGAGAACTGTTTTTTAAAATACTTGGTATACATATTATTATTATTACTTTTTGTTTTTATTATTATTATTATTTATATAGCGCCAGCATATTCTGTAGTGCTGTACAGTTGGTGGACCACACTTATTATACATCATTTTGTTCAGGAGAAACAGGGCTTTCATTTCACATGAACTATTCATATATGAAACATAATTCATTATGAATAAAATCTAAAAAAAAGTGTGAGAAATTAAGATTTTTTTAAAACAATTTTAGTTCTGCGTTGCATTTTAACTGTGAATGTCATAATATTGTTAGCTTTTACTGCAATAAAATGCACGTATTTGTATTCAGCAAAGTCTCACAAGTACAATACAATTTAATTTTCTGGACTTTCTTCATGGGTTGTCAGACAGGTCTCTCAAATTGCAATCAATACAATTACTTAATTATGTAAAAATATTACATAAATATTTAAAATATATATACATATTTATATATTTGAAGTCTACGTGTATATTTATGAAGTTATTTATGTAATTATGTGTATGAGTATATTTATATTTTTTATTATTTGTATGTATTTATATATATAATTTTATATATAATTTCATTCTAAGTATATTTTGATATGAATATATATATTCATATATATATATATATTCTAAGTGTATTTTGATATGAATATATATGTATATATGTATATATATTCATATCAAAATACACTTAGAATAAAATTACATATATATAATTACTTAGAATAAAATTACATATATACATATATATATATATATATATATAGTTACATAGTTATATATACGTATGTAATTAATATATATGTAAATATTAATAAAAAATACTCTTAGTATGACATTATATATATATATATATGTATATATATATATATGATATATAGATATAATATATGTATATATATAGATATCTCATATATATATATATATATATATATACATATATTATTATTTTATTTACTAACATTTTTTTTTTTTACTGGTGTAGGAAGACTGCCTGTCAGTTTAGGCAGTTCCCCTGCAGGCAGATACACAGGCACCTATTGCGGACATGCGACCGCTCTTTCAGATCGATCATATGGCCCGTGGGTGGCCTAATTTGGCGAGGGTGGACTGTCTGGGCTGTCAGACAGTCCCCCCTCACTGGGAGGAACACAGGTAAGCAACAAGGACCGCGGGCATTTAGGGCCACCCCTAAAAGGACGGCATAGAACGCCCACCCTCCTTAAGGGGTTAAATATTAAGCTATGTTTGGAATCTGTAGGAATCTATAGGGCCTCAATCCAAATGACTCAATACTGTTAAAAAAACCTTTCCAAATTATTTATATATGTTGTCCCTAATAAGACAGGCAGATTGCCTACAACCTACAATGACTGTGAATTTCATTAATGAATTGTGTAATGTTACATTCTCACCTTTTGTATCAGTTAATAATGTTTATGCTAATGATCAGGAAATGTATTTTATCACTTATCAAGTCATGTTTCATGTGGTTATATAAGAAAGGAGTTGCTGTGAGTAGCTCTATATTTTTAATACAATAGCCACTACAGGCACTTCCATGAAACTTTGCTATTTTAGACAGATGGCCTCATTTGCCATGCATGCACACTAAGTACCTACTATCCCATGGGAAAGCATTGGATTGGCTGGGATAATCAACATTGATGATCTCAGCCAAAGAGACAGAGCTTGAGCAGGGAGACCATTGCTGCAAGGGCTGAAAGGTAAGTAAATCACCTTTATTATTTGTATTCGTAACACTAGAGTGTCCCTTTAATATTGGTGATTAATGATGCAATAAATTGTTGCAGCTCTTCTAAGCCAAAAATATGCCTTTTTTTTTTTAAGTTTCACAACTTCAGATTTTTTTTTAATTCAACTGACATGAACAAATGGTTCAGCTCATGGGGGAATATAAAATGTCACAGATTCACAGAATGACTTCTAGCTCATGAACAATTTTATTTGCAAATATACATCCCCTGCCCTTTTATTTATTGTCTCTTTTTCTCTGTCTTTCTTTCTGTCTGTATTTTTCTGCTCTATTCCCTATTTTTTTTTTAGTATAGTTAAAATGAGATATTTTGTTGTATTCTTTCCAATTATGTATTTCTCCTCAATGCTGTTCACTGTTTTAGTATTTATGTAATAGTATTTTTCTGATTTTACTGTCACGGTACTTACAACTTAACATTATATTTATATCATAAAAATGCAGCTATAAATCTAGGTTCATCTAGATTCAACATCATAATGGCGAACCTGACAACAGAGTGACAGTATAGAGAAGGAGAACCCTCCTACATGGGATTTTCTTGCTACCAGTCAAAGCAACTACGGTGCATTCACTGTAGTTCCCATGATTATTCCTCTAACCAGCATGTCTTGCAAAGGAATTAGGAATGGGGCAATACTCGCCACTCTTGATATGCAAGAAATGAAGCCAGCTTGGCATCA